CGCTAGCTGTGGGTTGATGGTCGAGCGATGGTTATGGTGGCGGCCTGTTGAAGAGCTTCTCTGTCGCGGTTCAAGGTCGGAAACGGAGGTGCTGCACGGCGTCGCTGCTGCATGGTAGAGGAGGTCTCGCCGGACTGGTTCTCGTCGGCGATGGTGGCGCAACGCTGATGGCGGCAGCAACTGGTGACGATGATGGTCGTTGATGGTCTGCTGCGAGGGATTATGATCGCTGATGGTCGACGGCCTGCTTGGTGATGATCGAAGGCTCTGCTCACGGATGGTGGTGGCTGCGATCGATAGGGACAACGGTTGAAGAAGGAGGAAGATGGAGGCTGCGAGTGATGGTTATTCGATGGTGGAGGCATCCCATTTTTATTAACTGCTAAGGTTCTACTAATTATATGTATATAATTAGGTTTAGCAATTAATCTTGCTCCCCAAGATAAATTCACATGCACACACACGCACAAGAGAGGGAAAGAGAGGAACCGGGTAGGCTCGATCGGTTCGGTTCTCTCGGTTCACACTTAGGATAGATTCTCGGGCTCGATAATAATCGAACGATAATAAAATAAAATAAAACGGGACATTAATATTTACATATATTGTTTGTCCCATTTTTGTTGCATTTTTTGTTATTATTATCTCATTCTTTTTCCCCCATTTTGAGTCATGTAGTTGGTTTTAGGTTCTTTTTGTCATTTATTATGTGTTTTGCCTTCATTTGAGTGTTGCGGTGTTTTCTGTTTGTTTTCCGGTCTTTTTCTGTTCTCTTTTTGTTTTTGGTGTGTAGTTTGGAGACCTCGGGAGAACAGGTTTTCAAGAATCCTTTGGGGAAGCTGACACCATTAGAAAGAGGGGTTCGTTAGCTACGCGTAGGAAAAAACGGAACTCAATTCCGAGTTCAGACGAGCTCAAACGAGCCCAAAACGTGAATCCGAGCAAGCTGCCCAACCAGGCCCGCGCCGCGCCCGCCTCGCGGCGCGACGAGCTCGCGACACACCTTCTGAATGCCTGTGCCCAGCTCCGCGGCGCGAAGACGCGACGAACACATCCTCCGCGGCGCGAAGACCCTCTGCGGCGTGACGAAGGCCTGCTCCACGCCCTCTCCGCGCCGTGAGGACCGCCACGAGCCTAGCAGAACTCCCAGACGTAACCGCCGCGCCGCGATGCAGCATTCTTCCGCGCCGCGATGAGGTCCCACGCCGCGGCACCTATGTCTCTACACGCTGCGCTGAGTTTTTACCACGCCATGTCACCTAATGATATATATATCGTACGGGCATCAGAAAAGAGATACACATCTCGACCGTGGGTGAAA